TTTTTTGTCGAGGGAAGCCATGCGCAGCTTACTTCCTGGTTTTAGGACGCGTCACTGCAGCTCTCTCGTCTCCTCTTCACACAGCACACTTTTCGCGGCACACGTACTTACAGCCAATCAGCTCTGAATGATGTGAGATGACGTATGGTGGGGATGGCAGCTCCGTGCCCCTATGGTCATTATTTTTTTGCCACACACATTAAATAGGAAAATACTCTGAGCATGCGCAGTGTAGTTTTTACAGTCACCGTTCACTTCACAGTGAGAGGGAGGGGCATGATCAGGTTTTGTCCCACATGGCTCTAAACAGCTCAATAGGCACACACTGTGACTGTAGACACACTAATTAGAAGAACACAGACTAAAACAGCAATGTACAGACGAATCAGATGATTAAACATGATCTTAAAATATATTTTATATATTTATTTATTTATTTTTTGTAATCATTATTTGTAATACTTTCTGCTGACACTAGGTGGGGCTGTGCCCCACCTGCCCCTAATGACCAGTCGCCACTGGTCTTAGGTGAGACAGCTTTTATGTGCGCAGCTCCACTTGTTTGGAACAATCTTCAGCAAGAATTGAAACTGAGCAATCTCATTCCTCTGCATGTTTGTAAAGCTAGGCTAAATGAAATGCTCGTTGACACTATGGGTACTTGTACATGTCTATAACTATGTAAATGTATCCTGTAAATATAATGTATGAAATCTGATGGTTTATTGATCTGATGGTTTAATGACCTGATGGTTTATTGATCTGATGGTTTAATGACCTGATGGTTTAATGACCTGATGGTTTAATGACCTGATGGTTTAATGACCTGATGGTTTAATGACCTGATGGTTTATTGATCTGATGGTTTAATGACCTGATGGTTTATTGATCTGATGGTTTAATGACCTGATGGTTTAATGACCTGATGGTTTAATGACCTGATGGTTTAATGACCTGATGGTTTAATGACCTGATGGTTTATTGATCTGATGGTTTAATGACCTGATGGTTTAATGACCTGATGGTTTATTGATCTGATGGTTTAATGACCTGATGGTTTAATGACCTGATGGTTTATTGATCTGATGGTTTAATGACCTGATGGTTTATTGATCTGATGGTTTAATGACCTGATGGTTTAATGACCTGATGGTTTATTGATCTGATGGTTTAATGACCTGATGGTTTAATGACCTGATGGTTTATTGATCTGATGGTTTAATGACCTGATGGTTTATTGATCTGATGGTTTATTGATCTGATGGTTTAATGATCTGATGGTTTATTGATCTGATGGTTTATTGATCTGATGGTTTAATGATCTGATGGTTTAATGATCTGATGGTTTAATGACCTGATGGTTTAATGACCTGATGGTTTATTGATCTGATGGTTTATTGACCTGATGGTTTATTGATCTGATGGTTTAATGATCTGATGGTTTAATGACCTGATGGTTTAATGACCTGATGGTTTAATGACCTGATGGTTTAATGACCTGATGGTTTAATGACCTGATGGTTTAATGACCTGATGGTTTAATGACCTGATGGTTTAATGATCTGATGGTTTAATGACCTGATGGTTTAATGATCTGATGGTTTATTGATCTGATGGTTTAATGATCTGATGTGTAATGATCTGATGGTTTAATGACCTGATGGTTTATTGATCTGATGGTTTATTGATCTGATGGTTTATTGATCTGATGGTTTAATGATCTGATGTGTAATGATCTGATGGTTTAATGATCTGATGGTTTATTGATCTGATGGTTTAATGATCTGATGGTTTAATGATCTGATGGTTTATTGATCTGATGGTTTATTGATCTGATGGTGTAATGACCTGATGGTTTAATGACTTGATGGTTTATTGATCTGATGGTTTATTGATCTGATGGTTTAATGATCTGATGGTTTATTGATCTGATGGTTTAATGATCTGATGGTTTATTGATCTGATGGTTTAATGATCTGATGGTTTAATGATCTGATGGTTTAATGATCTGATGGTTTAATGACCTGATGGTTTATTGATCTGATGGTTTATTGATCTGATGGTTTAATGATCTGATGTGTAATGATCTGATGGTTTATTGATCTGATGGTTTAATGATCTGATGGTTTAATGATCTGATGGTTTAATGACCTGATGGTTTAATGACCTGATGGTTTAATGATCTGATGGTTTATTGATCTGATGGTTTAATGACCTGATGGTTTAATGATCTGATGGTTTAATGATCTGATGGTTTATTGATCTGATGGTTTAATGATCTGATGGTTTAATGATCTGATGTGTAATGATCTGATGGTTTATTGATCTGATGGTTTATTGACCTGATGGTTTAATGACCTGATGGTTTAATGATCTGATGGTTTATTGATCTGATGGTTTAATGACCTGATGGTTTAATGATCTGATGGTTTAATGATCTGATGGTTTATTGATCTGATGGTTTAATGATCTGATGGTTTAATGATCTGATGTGTAATGATCTGATGGTTTATTGATCTGATGGTTTAATGACCTGATGGTTTAATGACCTGATGGTTTATTGATCTGATGGTTTATTGATCTGATGGTTTAATGATCTGATGGTTTAATGACCTGATGGTTTAATGACCTGATGGTTTATTGATCTGATGTGTAATGATCTGATGGTTTAATGATCTGATGGTTTATTGATCTGATGGTTTAATGACCTGATGGTTTATTGATCTGATGGTTTATTGATCTGATGGTTTAATGATCTGATGGTTTAATGATCTGATGGTTTAATGACCTGATGGTTTATTGATCTGATGTGTAATGATCTGATGGTTTAATGACCTGATGGTTTAATGACCTGATGGTTTAATGACCTGATGGTTTATTGATCTGATGGTTTATTGATCTGATGGTTTATTGATCTGATGGTTTAATGATCTGATGTGTAATGATCTGATGGTTTAATGATCTGATGGTTTATTGATCTGATGGTTTAATGATCTGATGGTTTAATGATCTGATGGTTTATTGATCTGATGGTTTATTGATCTGATGGTGTAATGACCTGATGGTTTAATGACTTGATGGCTTATTGATCTGATGGTTTATTGATCTGATGGTTTAATGATCTGATGGTTTATTGATCTGATGGTTTAATGATCTGATGGTTTATTGATCTGATGGTTTAATGATCTGATGGTTTAATGATCTGATGGTTTAATGATCTGATGGTTTAATGATCTGATGGTTTAATGACCTGATGGTTTATTGATCTGATGGTTTATTGATCTGATGGTTTAATGATCTGATGTGTAATGATCTGATGGTTTATTGATCTGATGGTTTAATGATCTGATGGTTTAATGATCTGATGGTTTAATGACCTGATGGTTTATTGATCTGATGGTTTATTGATCTGATGGTTTAATGATCTGATGGTTTAATGATCTGATGGTTTAATGATCTGATGATTTAATGACCTGATGGTTTATTGATCTGATGGTTTATTGATCTGATGGTTTAATGATCTGATGTGTAATGATCTGATGGTTTATTGATCTGATGGTTTAATGATCTGATGGTTTAATGATCTGATGGTTTAATGACCTGATGGTTTATTGATCTGATGGTTTATTGATCTGATGGTTTAATGATCTGATGGTTTAATGATCTGATGGTTTAATGACCTGATGGTTTATTGATCTGATGGTTTATTGATCTGATGGTTTAATGACCTGATGGTTTATTGATCTGATGGTTTATTGATCTGATGGTTTAATGATCTGATGGTTTAATGATCTGATGGTTTAATGATCTGATGGTTTATTGATCTGATGGTTTAATGACCTGATGGTTTATTGATCTGATGGTTTATTGATCTGATGGTTTAATGATCTGATGTGTAATGATCTGATGGTTTATTGATCTGATGGTTTAATGATCTGATGGTTTATTGATCTGATGGTTTATTGATCTGATGGTTTAATGATCTGATGGTTTATTGATCTGATGGTTTAATGACCTGATGGTTTAATGACCTGATGGTTTATTGATCTGATGGTTTATTGATCTGATGGTTTAATGATCTGATGGTTTATTGATCTGATGGTTTAATGATCTGATGTGTAATGATCTGATGGTTTATTGATCTGATGGTTTAATGATCTGATGTGTAATGATCTGATGGTTTATTGATCTGATGGTTTAATGACCTGATGGTTTATTGATCTGATGGTTTAATGATCTGATGGTTTATTGATCTGATGGTTTATTGATCTGATGGTTTATTGATCTGATGGTTTATTGATCTGATGTGTAATGATCTGTTTCAGGTGGTAGATGGCCGCTGGAAGCCCTTCCTGGTGAAGCCGGTCCCCTCTCAGCTGATGAAGCCTCTGCTGGTGTTCGTCAACCCGAAGAGCGGGGGCAACCAGGTACTGCCCCCCCCCCCCCCCAAATCACATGATACCCTGCAGCTTTATGAGTGAAAAACATCTGCATGATGATCCAAAACATAACTATCAAACACGACATACAATAGAAGGAAGGTTCGTATTACATTACATGACATTAGATGTTACTTGTTAGACTTACATACTTAATACTGTGGGCAATGTGGGGTGCTGCTGACTGCAGCGGGGTTTGAACCTGTGCTCCCCAGGGGCCTCATTTATAAAGGGATATACGCTCAAAAAATGGCGTACGCCAGTTTCTACGCAATGTTTGCGATTTATAAAATACTAACTTGACGGGAAAATGTGCTGTCCTCCACGCAAACTCTAACCAATGCGTACGCACTAAGCACAACAACGGGAGAGACGAGAAACTGCGACACCGTTGGCAGAAGGAAGAATGGAGAGAAATATGTGGAAATAATACCATCAATAAAATGTTACCTCTCATTTATCAAATATGAAGAATTCATTTTCAAACATTGATTAAAGCCAATCTTAAAATGATGAAACAAACGCCTGTTTGAGACTCCTCAGTGCACACAAACACATAACTTGGAGAAATAAATAAATACGGATATGTTATTTAAAACCACCTCGAATATGTTGTGTTAATGTTATGAAATGTTTTCTCATAAATGATGCGGTAAGCAGGAGGACAGAATTACGTCTAAACTGACGCCGTTTTGCATTTCTATAGGTTGTAGATACGAGCATGGTTTTATATACTATCACGTTTAATCGTGTTTTATGCCGTTTGCCAAGACTTGATAAGTGGCTCGTAAAACCCAGGAGGTATGGAAACTAAGAACACCATATGTGGTAAACAGCTAATATAACACAACACATTGTATTTCCTTTAACTGGTGGATTATGGATATATAGTTGCTGATCGACAGCTGGAACACAAACCACCAAATACAACACAATCATTCAGATCCAGTCGTCATGACTACACTCCGGAGGGATTCCCCCATCATTTCTTACAGTTTCCAACCCAGTCTCACATCTAAACGTGTAATAACTACGTTGGTCCACAACTTGGGACGTAGTATTTCTACAAAAACGCCTCTGAAATCGTAGGATCCCTACGTTTTTTTACACCATTCATTTCCAATGGCTGGCGTCTATGTCACGTGATCTTCAACTTTCTCTCCGCAGAAATAAAAAAACATGGCCGACCTTCGTTTTATTCTCGGTAGAAAATGCCTATTTTAAGGTTAGTTTGGCCATTAAAATGCGTTTTGATGTCATTTGATGCGAGAAATATGAGTTGTTATTTCAGATGATGTGTGCAGTGGATGTACATGATCTTTAGTTTGCTAGTTATTACGAAGAATACTTCAGGAAATTGTGTAAATACAACGTTTTCATTGTTACCAAGGTGGTTGCTAGGGACGCTGCTATCGATATTATGTCTGTTGTGTTGTGTAACTGTTTAATGGTGTTATCTTTATTGCTAGGGTCTGGGCCGACCTCACATGGAGGGGCAGAGTGTTCCAGAGCCTAGGGCCAGCTGCTGAGAAGGCTCGGTGCCCTCAGGTTTTGAGCCTGGTCTTGGGCACTACCAGCAGCAGCTGGTCAGCAGACCTTAAAGCTCTGGCTGGGGTGTAGCGCTGGAGGAGTTCAGCTATATAGGCCGGAGCCAGCCCATTTAGTGCTTTAAAAACAAATAAAAGGATTTTAAAATCAATTCTGAACCGAACTGGAAGCCAGTGCAGTGAAGCCAGAATAGGGGTGATGTGGTCGCGCTTTTTGTGGCCAGTCAGCAAACGTGCAGCTGCGTTTTGGACTAGCTGCAGGCGTTTAATTGAGGCCTGGTCCATACCCACATACAGAGCGTTACAATAGTCCAGTCTTGAGGTAACAAAGGCGTTAATAACCCTTTCTAAGTCTTTAAAAGATAAAAACGACTTGGTTTTGGCCAATAGTCTTATTTTAAAAAAGCAGGATTTTACTACGGTGCTGATCTGCTTGTTGAATTTAAAAGTGCTGGTGAAGGTCACTCCAAGGTTCATGACCGAGGGGAGGATGTTTTTTTTGATAGAGCCCAGAATATCAACCGGAGAGGCTGGAGGTTGCGGTCCAAAAAAGATGACCTCGGTCTTGCTCTCGTTGAGGTTGAGGAAGTCTTTGCTCAGCCAGGATTTTATCTCTGCTAAGCAGTCCATCAGCTGCTGTAGTGAGTGTTTGACATTTGCTTTGAGAGGCAGATAGATCTGTACATCGTCAGCGTAGCAGTGGAAGGGAATATTATGTTTTGTGAGAATTGCAGAACAGCATCTAGCATAGGGCCCCCAAACAGCATCTAGCATAGGGTGCCCAAACAGCATCTAGCATAGGGCCCCCAAACAGCATCTAGCATAGGGCCCCCAAACAGCATCTAGCATAGGGCCCCCAAACAGCATCTAGCATAGGGCCCCCAAACAGCATCTAGCATAGGACCCCCAAACAGCATCTAGCATAGGGCCCCCAAACAGCATCTAGCATAGGGCCCCCAAACAGCATCTAGCATAGGGCCCCCAAACAGCATCTAGCATAGGACCCCCCAAACAGCATCTAGCATAGGGCCCCCAAACAGCATCTAGCATAGGGCCCCCAAACAGCATCTAGCATAGGGACCCCCAAACAGCATCTAGCATAGGGCCCCCAAACAGCATCTAGCATAGGACCCCCAACAGCATCTAGCATAGGGCCCCCAAACAGCATCTAGCATAGGGCCCCCAAACAGCATCTAGCATAGGGCCCCCAAACAGCATCTAGCATAGGGCCCCCAAACAGCATCTAGCATAGGACCCCCAAACAGCATCTAGCATAGGGCCCCCAAACAGCATCTAGCATAGGGCCCCCAAACAGCATCTAGCATAGGACCCCCAAACAGCATCTAGCATAGGACCCCCAAACAGCATCTAGCATAGGGCCTCCAAACAGCATCTAGCATAGGACCCCCAAACAGCATCTAGCATAGGGCCCCCAAACAGCATCTAGCATAGGGCCCCCAAACAGCATCTAGCATAGGGCCCCCAAACAGCATCTAGCATAGGGCCTCCAAACAGCATCTAGCATAGGACCCCCAAACAGCATCTAGCATAGGGCCCCCAAACAGCATCTAGCATAGGGCCCCCAAACAGCATCTAGCATAGGGCCCCAAACAGCATCTAGCATAGGACCCCCAAACAGTATCTAGCATAGGGCCCCCAAACAGCATCTAGCATAGGGACCCCCAAACAGGCTAATCTAGCATAGGGCCCTCCAAACAGCATCTAGCATAGGGCCCCCCAAACAGCATCTAGCATAGGGACCCCCAAACAGCATCTAGCATAGGACCCCCAAACAGCATCTAGCATAGGACCCCAAAACAGCATCTAGCATAGGGCCCCCAAACAGCATCTAGCATAGGGCCCCCAAACAGCATCTAGCATAGGGCCCCCAAACAGCATCTAGCATAGGACCCCCAAACAGCATCTAGCATAGGGCCCCAAACAGCATCTAGCATAGGACCCCCAAACAGCATCTAGCATAGGGCCCCAAACAGCATCTACATAGGGGGCCCCCAAACAGCATCTAGCATAGGGCCCCCAAACAGCATCTAGCATAGGCCCCCAAACAGCATCTAGCATAGGGCCCCCAAACAGCATCTAGCATAGGCCCCCCAAACAGCATCTAGCATAGGCCCCCAAACAGCATCTCGCATAGGGCCCCAAACAGCATCTAGCATAGGCCCCCAAACAGCATCTAGCATAGGCCCCCCAAACAGATCTAGCATAGGGCCCCCAAACAGATCTAGCATAGGGCCCCCAAACAGCATCTAGCATAGGGCCCCCAAACAGCATCTAGCATAGGGCCCCCAAACAGACATCTAGCATAGGGCCTCCCAAACAGCATCTAGCATAGGGCCCCCAAACAGCATCTAGCATAGGGACCCCCAAACAAGCATCTAGCATAGGGCCCCCAAACAGCATCTAGCATAGGGCCCCCAAACAGCATCTAGCATAGGGCCCCCAAACAGCATCTAGCATAGGGCCCCCAAACAGCATCTAGCATAGGGCCCCCAAACAGCATCTAGCATAGGGCCCCAAACAGCATCTAGCATAGGGCCCCCAAACAGCATCTAGCATAGGACCCCCAAACAGCATCTAGCATAGGGCCCCCAAATAGTATCTAGCATAGGGCCCTCCCAAACAGCCATCTAGCATAGGACCCCCAAACAGCATCTAGCATAGGGCCCCCAAACAGCATCTAGCATAGGGCCCCCAAACAGCATCTAGCATAGGACCCCCAAACAGCATCTAGCATAGGGCCCCCAAACAGTATCTAGCATAGGGCCTCCAAACAGCATCTAGCATAGGGCCCCCAAACAGCATCTAGCATAGGACCCCCAAACAGCATCTAGCATAGGACCCCCAAACAGCATCTAGCATAGGGCCCCCAAACAGCATCTAGCATAGGGCCCCCAAACAGCATCTAGCATAGGGCCCCCAACAGCATCTAGCATAGGGCCCCCAAACAGCATCTAGCATAGGACCCCCAAACAGCATCTAGCATAGGGCCCCCAAACAGCATCTAGCATAGGACCCCCAAACAGCATCTAGCATAGGGCCCCCAAACAGCATCTAGCATAGGGCCCCCAAACAGCATCTAGCATAGGGCCCCCAAACAGCATCTAGCATAGGACCCCCAAACAGCATCTAGCATAGGGCCCCCAAACAGCATCTAGCATAGGGCCCCCAAACAGCATCTAGCATAGGGCCCCCAAACAGCATCTAGCATAGGGCCCCCAAACAGCATCTAGCATAGGGCCCCCAAACAGCATCTAGCATAGGGCCCCCAAACAGCATCTAGCATAGGGCCCCCAAACAGCAATCTAGCATAGGGCCCCCAAACAGATCTAGCATAGGGCCCCCAAACAGCATCTAGCATAGGGCCCCCAAACAGCATCTTGCATAGGGCCCCCAAACAGCATCTAGGCAATAGAGCCCCCTAAACAGCATCTAGCATAGGGCCCCCAAACAGCATCTAGCATAGGGCCCCCAAACAGCATCTAGCATAGGGCCCCCAAACAGCATCTAGCATAGGGCCCCCAAACAGCATCTAGCATAGAGCCCCCAAACAGCATCTAGCATAGGGCCCCCAAACAGCATCTAGCATAGGACCCCCAAACAGCATCTAGCATAGGGCCCCCAAACAGCATCTAGCATAGGGCCCCCAAACAGCATCTAGCATAGGGCCCCCAAACAGCATCTAGCATAGGGCCCCCCAAACAGCATCTAGCATAGGGCCCCCAAACAGCATCTAGCATAGGGCCCCCAACAGCATCTAGCATAGGGCCCCCAAACAGCATCTAGCATAGGACCCCCAAACAGCATCTAGCATAGGGCCCCCAAACAGCATCTAGCATAGGGCCCCCAAACAGCATCTAGCATATGGACCCCCAAACAGCATCTAGCATAGGGCCCCCAAACAGCATCTAGCATAGGGCCCCAAACAGCATCTAGCATAGGGCTCCCAAACAGCATCTAGCATAGGGCCCCCAAACAGCATCTAGCATAGGGCCCCCAAACAGCATCTAGCATAGGGCCCCCAAACAGCATCTAGCATAGGGCCCCCAAACAGCATCTAGCATAGGGCCCCCAAACAGCATCTAATATAGGGCCCCCAAACAGTATCTAGCATAGGGCCTCCAAACAGCATCTAGCATAGGACCCCCAAACAGCATCTAGCATAGGGCCCCCAAACAGCATCTAGCATAGGGCCCCCAAACAGCATCTTGCATAGGGCCCCAAACAGCATCTAGCATAGGGCCCCCAAACAGCATCTAGCATAGGGCCCCCAAACAGCATCTAGCATAGGGCCCCAAACAGCATCTAGCATAGGGCCCCCAAACAGCATCTTGCATAGGGCCCCCAAACAGCATCTAGCATAGGGCCCCCAAACAGCATCTAGCATAGGGCCCCCAAACAGCATCTAGCATAGAGCCCCCAAACAGCATCTAGCATAGGGCCTCCAAACAGCATCTAGCATGGGGCCCCCAAACAGCATCTAGCATGGGGCCCCAAACAGCATCTAGCATAGAGCCCCCAAACAGCATCTAGCATAGGGCCCCCAAACAGCATCTAGCATAGGGCCCCCAAACAGCATCTAGCATAGAGCCCCCAAACAGCATCTAGCGTAGGGCCCCCAAACAGCATCTAGCATAGGGCCCCCCAAACAGCATCTAGCATAGGGCCCCCAAACAGCATCTTGCATAGGGCCCCCAAACAGCATCTAGCATAGGGCCCCCAAACAGCATCTAGCATAGGGCCCCCCAAACAGCATCTAGCATAGGACCCCCAAACAGTATCTAGCATAGGGCCCCCAAACAGCATCTAGCATAGGACCCCCAAACAGTATCTAGCATAGGGCCTCCAAACAGCATCTAGCATAGGGCCCCCAAACAGCATCTAGCATAGGACCCCCAAACAGCATCTAGCATAGGACCCCCCAACCAGCATCTAGCATAGGGCCCCCAAACAGCATCTAGCATAGGGCCCCCCAAAACAGCATCTAGCATAGGGCCCCCAAACAGCATCTAGCATAGGGCCCCCCAAACAGCATCTAGCATAGGACCCCCAAACAGCATCTAGCATTAGGGGCCCCCAAACAGCATCTAGCATAGGACCCCCAAACAGCATCTAGCATAGGGCCCCCAAACAGCATCTAGCATAGGGCCCCCCAAACAGCATCTAGCATAGGGCCCCCAAACAGCATCTAGCATAGGACCCCCAAAACAGCATCTAGCATAGGGCCCCCAAACAGCATCTAGCATAGGGCCCCCCAAACAGCATCTAGCATAGGACCCCCAAACAGCATCTAGCATAGGACCCCCAAACAGCCATCTAGGCATAGGGCCTCCAAACAGCATCTAGCATAGGACCCCCCAAACAGCATCTAGCATAGGGCCCCCAAAACAGAATCTAGCATAGGGCCCCCCCAAACAGCATCTAGCATAGGGCCCCCAAACAGCATTCTAGCATAGGGCCTCCAAACAGCATCTAGCATAGGGCCCCCAAACAGCATCTAGCATAGGGCCCCCAAACAGCATCTAGCATAGGGCCCCCAAACAGCATCTAGCATAGGGCCCCCAAACAGCACCTAGCATAGACCCCCAACAGCATCTAGCATAGGGCCCCCAAACAGCATCTAGCATAGGACCCCCCAAACAGTATCTAGCATAGGGCCTCCAAACAGCATCTAGCATAGGGCCCCCCAAACAGCATCTAGCATAGGACCCCCAAACAGCATCTAGCATAGGGCCCCCAAACAGCATCTAGCATAGGGCCCCCCAACAGCATCTAGCATAGGGCCCCCAAACAGCATCTAGCATAGGGCCCCAAACAGCATCTAGCATAGGGCCCCCAAAACAGCATCTAGCATAGGGCCCCCCAAACAGCATCTAGCATAGGGCCCCCAAACAGCATCTAGCATAGGGCCCCAAACAGCATCTAGCATAGGGCCCCCAAACAGCATCTAGCATAGGCCCCCAACACCATCTAGCATAGGGCCCCCAAACAGCATCTAGCATAGGGCCCCCAAACAGCATCTAGCATAGAGGCCCCACTAACAGCATCTAGCATAGGGCCCCCCAAACAGCATCTAGCATAGGGCCCCCCAAACAGCATCTAGCATAGGGCCCCCAACAGCACTCTAGCATAGGGCCCCCCCAAACAGCATCTAGCATAGAGCCCCCAAACAGCATCTAGCATAGGGCCCCCAAACCAGCATCTAGCATAGGACCCCCCAACAGCATCTAGCATAGGGACCCCCAAACAGCATCTAGCATAGGGCCCCCAAACAGCATCTAGCATAGGGCCCCCCAAACAGCATCTAGCATAGGGCCCCCAAACAGCATCTAGCATAGGGCCCCCAAACAGCATCTAGCATAGGGCCCCCAAACAGCATCTAGCATAGGGCCCCCAAACAGCATCTAGCATAGGCCCCCAAACAGCATCTAGCATAGGACCCCCAAACAGCATCTAGCATAGGGCCCCCAAACAGCATCTAGCATAGGCCCCCAAACAGCATCTAGCAATAGGGCCCCCAAACAGCATCTAGCATAGGGCCCCCAAACAGCATCTAGCATAGGGCCCCCAAACAGCATCTAGCATAGGGCCCCCAAACAGCATCTAGCATAGGGCCACCAAACAGCATCTAGCATAGGGCCCCCAACAGCATCTAGCATAGGACCCCCCAAACAGCATCTAGCATAGGGCCCCCAAACAGTATCTAGCATAGGGCCTCCAAACAGCATCTAGCATAGGACCCCCAAACAGCATCTAGCATAGGGCCCCCAAACAGCATCTAGCATAGGGCCCCCAAACAGCATCTTGCATAGGGCCCCAAACAGCATCTAGCATAGGGCCCCCAAACAGCATCTAGCATAGGGCCCCCAAACAGCATCTAGCATAGGGCCCCAAACAGCATCTAGCATAGGGCCCCCAAACAGCATCTTAGCATAGGGCCCCCAAACAGCATCTAGCATAGGGCCCCCAAACAGCATCTAGCATAGGGCCCCCAAACAGCATCTAGCATAGAGCCCCCAAAACAGCATCTAGCATAGGGCCTCCAAACAGCATCTAGCATGGGGCCCCCAAACAGCATCTAGCATGGGGCCCCAAACAGCATCTAGCATAGAGCCCCCAAACAGCATCTAGCATAGGGCCCCCAAACAGCATCTAGCATAGGGCCCCCCAAACAGCATCTAGCATAGAGCCCCCAAACAGCATCTAGCGTAGGGCCCCCAAACAGCATCTAGCATAGGGCCCCCAAACAGCATCTAGCATAGGGCCCCCAAACAGCATCTTGCATAGGGCCCCCAAACAGCATCTAGCATAGGGCCCCCAAACAGCATCTAGCATAGGGCCCCCAAACAGCATCTAGTATAGGGCCCCCAAACAGCATCTTGCATAGGGCCCCCAAACAGCATCTTGCATAGGGCCCCCAAACAGCATCTTGCATAGGGCCCCCAAACAGCATCTAGCATAGGGCCCCCAAACAGCATCTTGCATAGGGCCCCCAAACAGCATCTTGCATGGGGCCCCCAAACAGCATCTTGCATAGGGCCCCCAAACAGCTAGAAACGGCCCTGCTTAGCATATCGTAGAATCGCAAACTATCGTATCGTGGCTTAAGAATCGCGATGGTATCGTATCGTGGGGAGCCTGGTGATTCCCACCCCTGGTACATTGTGTGCATTAATGTCTGTTATTGTGTCAAAGACATATAAATACATATATATCATTTTGCTGCCCTTAATATAATTATTATGTTCATGTTTTTAAATATTAATATTATTATTTAACTTCTCACCTGAAATGTCTTTTTCTTCTTCTCAGGGAGCGAAGATCATCCAGTCCTTCATGTGGTACCTGAACCCCCGGCAGGTGTTCGATCTGACCAAGGGGGGTCCCAGAGAGGGGTAAGAACTGACCGGGTGATATCACAGACGCCTCCCGTGTTTCTCTCATGTGTTCATTAGAAGCTCACTTAGTGATAGTCGTGCTGTTATTCATGTCTTAGTGTGTGCACATGTGTCTGTTGATAGTTTGGCGTCTAGGCTCGGCCTCATCACTGCACAGATTAACACTGAACATTGACCATGATTAGAGCTGAGGCTCCAGAAAGTGAAAGTTTAACTGGAGTTTATGTTGAGTTTAACTGGAGTTTAACTGGAGTTTATGTTGAGTTTAACTGGAGTTTAACTGGAGTTTATCTGGAGTTTATGTTGAGTTTAACTGGAGTTTAACTGGAGTTTATGTTGAGTTTAACTGGAGTTTAACTGGAGTTTATCTGGAGTTTATGTTGAGTTTAACTGGAGTTTATGTTGAGTTTATCTGGAGTTTATGTTGAGTTTAACTGGAGTTTATGTTGAGTTTAACTGGAGTTTATCTGGAGTTTATGTTGAGTTTAACTGGAGTTTAACTGGAGTTTATCTGGAGTTTATGTTGAGTTTAACTGGAGTTTAACTGGAGTTTATCTGGAGTTTATGTTGAGTTTATGTTGAGTTTAACTGGAGTTTATGTTGAGTTTAACTGGAGTTTATGTTGAGTTTATGTTGAGTTTAACTGGAGTTTATGTTGAGTTTATGTTGAGTTTAACTGGAGTTAAGTTTAACTTTAAATTGAGGAGGAGGAAATAAAATATCAATATTTACGCTTTGTGTCTCCTGCAGATTGGAGCTTTACGCCAGGGTGCCCAACCTGAGGATCCTGGCCTGTGGGGGGGACGGCACGGTGAGGACCACAACACACATACTGTGTATACATGGGGGGCTGAAACACAACCTCAAATGTGTGTGTGTGTGTGTGTGTGTGTGTGTGTGTGTGTGTGTGTGTGTGTGTGGTGTGTGTGTGTGTGTGTGTGTGTGTGTGTGTGTGTGTGTGTGTGTGTGTGTGTGTGTGTGTGTGTGTGTGTGTGTGTAGGTGGGGTGGATCTTGTCGGTGTTGGAGGAGCTGAAGTTGAGTCCTCAGCCTCCGGTGAGCATCCTGCCTCTGGGGACCGGAAACGACCTCGCCAGGACGCTCAACTGGGGAGGGGTGAGATCAACTGGAGATTAACTGGAGTTTATCTGGAGTTTATCTAGGGTTTATCTGGAGTTTATCTAGGGTTTATCTGGAGTTTATCTGGAGTTTATCTAGGGTTTATCTGGAGTTTATCTGGAGTTTATCTGTAGTTTATCTGGAGTTTATCTGGAGTTTATCTAGGGTTTATCTGGAGTTTATCTGGAGTTTATCTGGAGTTTATCTGGAGTTTATCTCGGGTTTATCTGGAGTTTATCTGGAGTTTATCTAGGGTTTATCTGGAGTTTATCTGGAGTTTATCTGTAGTTTATCTGGAGTTTATCTGGAGATTAACTGGAGTTAAGTTTAACTATAGTTTATCTAGGCTTTATCTAGGGTTTATCTGGAGTTTATCTGGAGTTTATCTCGGGTTTATCTGGAGTTTATCTAGGGTTTATCTGTAGTTTATCTGGAGTTTATCTGGAGTTTATCTGGAGATTAACTGGAGTTAAGTTTAACTATAGTTTATCTAGGCTTTATCTAGGGTTTATCTGGAGTTTATCTCGGGTTTATCTGTAGTTTATCTGGAGTTTATCTGGAGTTTATCTGGAGTTTATCTCGGGTTTATCTGGAGTTTATCTGGAGTTTATCTGGAGTTTATCTGGAGTTTATCTAGGGTTTATCTGGAGTTTATCTCAGGTTTATCTGGAGTTTATCTGGAGTTTATCTGGAGTTTATCTGGAGTTTATCTGGAGTTTATCTGTAGTTTATCTCGGGTTTATCTGGAGTTTATCTGTAGTTTATCTGTAGTTTATCTGGAGTTTATCTGTAGTTTATCTGTAGTTTATCTGGAGTTTATCTGGAGTTTAACTGGAGTTTATCTGGAGTTTATCTGGAGTTTATCTGGAGTTTATCTGGAGTTTATCTGGAGTTTATCTGGAGTTTATCTCGGGTTTATCTGGAGTTTATCTGTAGTTTATCTGTAGTTTATCTCTGGTTTATCTGTAGTTTATCTGGAGTTTATCTGGAGTTTACCTGGAGTTTATCTGGAGTTAATCTGTAGTTTATCTGTAGTTTATCTGGAGTTTATCTGGAGTTAATCTGTAGTTTATCTGGAGTTTATCTGGAGTTTATCTGGAGTTTATCTGGAGTTTATCTGGAGTTTATCTGGAGTTTATCTGTAGTTTATCTCGGGTTTATCTGGAGTTTATCTGTAGTTTATCTGTAGTTTATCTCTGGTTTATCTGTAGTTTATCTGGAGTTTATCTGGAGTTTACCTGGAGTTTATCTGGAGTTTATCTGTAGTTTATCTGGAGTTTATCTGGAGTTTATCTGTAGTTTATCTGGAGTTTATCTGGAGTTTACCTGTAGTTTATCTGGAGTTTATCTGGAGTTTATCTGGAGTTTATCTGGAGTTTATCTGGAGTTTACCTGGAGTTTATCTGGAGTTTATCTGTAGTTTATCTGTAGTTTATCTGGAGTTTATCTGGAGTTAATCTGGAGTTTATCTGGAGTTTATCTGGAGTTTATCTGGAGTTTATCTGGAGTTTATCTGGAGTTTATCTGGAGTTTACCTGGAGTTTATCTGGAGTTTATCTGTAGTTTATCTGGAGTTTATCTGGAGTTTATCTGGAGTTTATCTGGAGTTTATCTGGAGTTTATCTGTAGTTTATCTGGAGTTTATCTGGAGTTTATCTGGAGTTTATCTGGAGTTTATCTGTAGTTTATCTCGGGTTTATCTGGAGTTTATCTGTAGTTTATCTGTAGTTTATCTCTGGTTTATCTGTAGTTTATCTGGAGTTTATCTGGAGTTTACCTGGAGTTTATCTGGAGTTTATCTGTAGTTTATCTGTAGTTTATCTGGAGTTTATCTGTAGTTTATCTGGAGTTTATCTCGGGTTTATCTGGAGTTTATCTGGAGTTTATCTGGAGTTTATCTGGAGTTTATCTGGAGTTTATCTAGGGTTTATCTGGAGTTTATCTGTAGTTTATCTGGAGTTTATCTGGAGTTTATCTGGAGTTTATCTCGGGTTTATCTGGAGTTTATCTGGAGTTTATCTGGAGTTTATCTGGAGTTTATCTGGAGTTTATCTGTAGTTTATCTCTGGTTTATCTGGAGTTTATCTGGAGTTTATCTGGAGTTTATCTGTAGTTTATCTCGGGTTTATCTGGAGTTTATCTGGAGTTTATCTGGAGTTTATCTGTAGTTTATCTGTAGTTTATCTCGGGTTTATCTGGAGTTTATCTGGAGTTATCTGGAGTTTATCTGGAGTTTATCTGGAGGTTTATCTGGAGTTTATCTGGAGTTTATCTGTAGTTATCTGGAGTTTATCTGGAGTTTACCTGGAGTTTATCTGGAGTTTTATCTGTAGTTTATCTGTAGTTTATACTGGAGTTTATCTGGAGTTTATCTGGAGTTTATCTGGAGTTTATCTGGAGTTTATCTGGAGTTTATCTGGAGTTTATCTAGGGTTTATCTGGAGTTTATCTGGAGTTTATCCGGAGTTTATCCGGAGTTTATCCGGAGTTTATCCGGAGTTTATCCGGAGTTTATCCGGAGTTTATCCGTAGTTTATCCGTAGTTTATCCGGAGTTTATCCGGAGTTTATCCGGAGTTATCCGGAGTTTATCTGTAGTTTATCTGGAGTTTATCTGGAGTTTATCGGGAGTTTACTCTGTAGTTTATCTGGAGTTTATCTGGAGTTAATCTGTAGTTTATCTGGAGTTTATCTGGAGTTATCTGGAGTTTATCTGTAGTTTATCTGGAAGTTATCTGGAGTTTATCTGGAGTTTTATCTGGAGTTTATCTGTAGTTTATCTGTAGTTTATCTGTAGTTTATCTGTAGTTTATCTTGAGTTTATCTGGAGTTTATCTGGAGTTATCTGGAGTTTATCGGAGTTTATCTGGAGTTTATCTGAGTTATCTGTAGTTTATCTGTAGTTTTATCTGGAGTTTTATCTGGAGTTTATCTGTAGTTTATCTTAGTTTATCTGTAGTTTATCTGTATAGTTATCTGTAGTTATCTGGAGTTTATCTGGAGTTATCTGGAGTTATCTCGGGTTGTATCTGGAGTTTTATCTGGAGTTTATTCTGGAGTTTATCTGGAGTTTATCTAGGGTTTATCTGGAGTTATCTGTAGTTTATCTGGAGTTTATCTGGAGTTTATCTGGAGTTTATCTCGGGTTTATCTGGAGTTTATCTGGAGTTTATCTGGAGTTTATCTGGAGTTTATCTGTAGTTTATCTCTGGTTATCTGGAGTTATCTGGCGTTTATCTGGAGTTTTATCTGTAGTTTATCTCGCGTTTATCTGGGTTTTATCTGGAGTTTATCTGGAGTTTATCTGGAGTTATCTGTAGTTTATCTCGGGTTTATCTGGAGTCTCTGGAGTTTATCTGGAGTTTATCTGTAGTTTATCTGGAGTTTAATCCTGTAGTTTACAGTGAGTTTATCTGGAGTTTATCTGTAGTTTATCTGTAGTTTATCTGTAGTTTATCTGGAGTTTAACTGGAGTTTATCTGGAGTTTATCTGGAGTTTATCTGGAGTTTATCTGGAGTTTATCTAGGGTTTATCTGGAGTTTATCTGTAGTTTATCTGGAGTTTATCCGGAGTTTATCCGGAGTTTATCCGGAGTTTATCCGGAGTTTATCCGGAGTTTATCCGGAGTTTATCCGTAGTTTATCCGTAGTTTATCCGGAGTTTATCCGGAGTTTATCCGGAGTTTATCCGGAGTTTATCTGTAGTTTATCTGGAGTTTATCTGGAGTTTATCTGGAGTTTATCTGGAGTTTATCTGGAGTTTATCTGGAGTTAATCTGTAGTTTATCTGGAGTTTATCTGGAGTTAATCTGTAGTTTATCCGGAGTTTATCCGGAGTTTATCCGGAGTTTATCTGGAGTTTATCTGGAGTTTATCTGGAGTTTATCTGGAGTTTATCTGGAGTTTATCTGGAGTTTATCTGTAGTTTATCTGTAGTTTATCTGGAGTTTATCTGGAGTTTATCTGGAGTTTATCTGTAGTTTATCTGGAGTTTATCTGGAGTTTATCTGGAGTTTATCTGGAGTTTATCTGTAGTTTATCTGGAGTTTATCTGTAGTTTATCTGGAGTTTATCTGGAGTTTATCTGGAGTTTATCTGTAGTTTATCTGGAGTTTATCTGTAGTTTATCTGGAGTTTATCTGTAGTTTATCTGTAGTTTATCTGTAGTTTATCTGTAGTTTATCTGGAGTTTATCTGGAGTTTAATTGGCATTTAAGTGGGAAAAGGTACATATAATACAGTTTAACTGTATAATCCCTTTTTCACATTAAAATGTGTAAGAACGACCAGACCTCCGTTTTATATATATTTTTGAGTCGCGTACTCACAGTATCCATTAGCTTTCTAGACATTTTACGACTTGAATTTAGAGTATGTTTGAGTTTTGTTTCTCTGAATATATAAGCTCCATATTTACAGTGAAGGAAATAAGTATTTGATCCCTTGCAGATTAAGTTTACCCTCTTCAAAGAAATACAGTCTGTCATTGTAATGGTAGGTTTATTTGACCAATGAGAAACAGAATATCCAGTAATGCACATCATATAAGAGATATACACTTATTTGAATTGAATTGTGGGAACTAAGTCTTTTCTTTGTAAGTGGGCAAACTTACCAAATCTGCAAGGGTTCAAATACTGATTTCCTTCACTGTATGTTTTCTCCAGCGGCTCAAACACTTTCTGTGGATTCATTAAAGACAGTTCAGTGTTTCAGTGTTTGCTGCTGACTCCTCTCAGGGTTACACGGACGAGCCCATCACTAAGATCCTGTCCCACGTGGAGGACGGGAACGTGGTGCAGCTGGACCGCTGGAGCCTGAAGGTGGAGGCCAACCCCGAGGCCCGGCCCGAGGACGCAGACGAGCACCAGACCGACAAGGTGGGGCTCTTAGCTGCTCCCCTTCACACCCGACAGTCTGACACAATCACCACGTTCAAACCCCACCTGTTCAGATCAGCCTGCTCACTGTAGTGCTACATG